AAAAAAAAAAAAAAAAAAAAAAAAAAAAAAAAAAAAAAAAAAAAAAGGAAACGAAAGAAAAAGGAAGAGGAGAAGAAGGAAAGAGCACACTCGAGAGATAGGATATATAGCTAAGGCAGCGAGAGGATACGAGACACGCCTCGAATTCTTCGGTGCACCTTGTGAACGTGTATATATATATGTACGTATACAAGGATGGGCGAGGTATGAGAAGCTGCGACGGGCACGTGTTGGTGTATATATACTTAAGCAGTCTTTCGAAAAAAAATACCGAAGGATCCTCTTCCCTGCGAGAGAGTAAGTATCTATATGTATAGACAGTGAGAAAACCAGTCGTGTAATCGATGTGAGCTCAGACTTGCCGATGCGGCCGTTGGCCATATCTTTTTTACAGCCTCCTTTTTCTCATCTGCGACTATCATACTGTTGTAGTGCAGGACCCGCATATGCGAAAAAAGAATCAAGAGGGTAGTACCTACATCGTACAGATTTTTTTTGCTTCGCGTCGGGGATGGAAATTGGATTTTTTTTTTTTCTTCACTTGTCCGATATACCATTAACTTATGTAGTTTACTCGGTTAGGGTGCCTTTGCCAGAGGTTATTGCTAATATATATATACGCCACGTACAGGCGTACAGCTGTAGAGTACTCACATCTTGGGAGTAGGTGTTTGTAGAAAGGGAGAGAGGTCTGATAAAGAAATAGAAAAAAAAAAAAAAAAAAACTACAGTAAAGTAAATATCACATGGATCGCTCGATTAGATGGACAAGGGAAGAGAGAAGAAAAATAAAACAACGCGACGGCGTGGGTTGTGCCGACACACGCGATCCAACGTTGGCGAGAGATGAAACATAAATATTAGCGTTGTTCATTCGTTAAGCCGATACACGCGTATATACGCGCCACGTTTGGGAGGAGCGAAAAAAAAAAAAATCATCAGCGCTAATTATATTTTCCCTCATAGCGCGATCATAGCACCATAGCTCTCTCGTGGACTAATATTGTTTATCGTACGCTTGTATACCCTTGGACCTTTTCTCATTGGTGTATATCTTTTTTCTCTTTCTCTTCTCCCCCAGCCCTATTCTTTGTGGCTCAAAACAGCTTTGCAGCGCGATACTTCCAGTCTATACATTTTTTTTTTTTTCATATCGATTCACCGATGATTAAATATTGTCCTTGTTTAAGAAAAAGGGCTAATTGAAGCTTTTTTTTTTTATTCATCGCGTATTTTTTCGTACCTCATACGGGTTTTCTTCTCCCGGGAGTTACTATACGGATAATCCGACAGACACGCGGGTACTTACGTTATCAATATGGATCGATCGACGAGTAATAGGTATACCCATCCTGTCCTCACAAAGAAGGAATAAGAGAGCCCTACTTTTGCACTCGGACGTACACAATATACTTACTCAGGTATACAGTAATTGTACCGCGAACTATAAATGTAAAGTATGTATGCACAATCCAAGATCTACCTTGTGCAGTTCAGTTGCATATTATGAGAAATAAATTTATACATACACGTAACACGCATGAATCGTAATGTCGAATTAAAACAATCAAGTACATTATAATATATACCCTCCTCCCCTTGTTTTTTCACGTTGATTACTCCCCTGGATATAATATATACGCTCATTCAAATTGTCATGTGTAACTAATAACGGAGAAAGAGCAAAATCTTTGGTTCAATAATTACCCATATGGTTTCCGAAAAAGTACACTAAACTATATTAAACACAAAATTTAGCCTCATAAAGGCAAAAGTGCTCGGGAGGAGGTAAGTAAGAAGGCTATTTCCGATATACCTGTGCAATCGAGGTGTATGAACGAATTTACAAATGAAGGCCCGTATAATATATGCAGTCTTGGATTATTGTGGCCGTAAATTATAATAACGGCGACGGTGAAAATCGTGTTTTACCCACGGAGTCAAACAACTGCAGTTGGAAGACTTTGGCTAATGGTTCATTGACATTATCGTGGCTGATGTATACGTATAATAGGGTATACGGCGAAGCTTTATTTCCTCGTTCGCCGACGCGAAGCCATTGTGGAGATTCCTTCGTGCTAACGTATCATATTATGTAGTGTATCCACGGTATAATGTACTCATACGCCCAATAATATAGTTTGCCCGCGTGCAATATCCTTTATATTAGAGAATGTATATATATA